CGAAACTGGGGCTGATCTCAGATTTTAGACTGCTGTAGGGCTTATTCAAAAGGGTTTTTATTTTCTGTTGAAAAGGTTGGGGGTAAAAAGTTTTATTTTTTGTGTTTTGATCATTTTTTAATTTTTTTTGTGAGCTTTCTTTTTGTTGCTGATTTTGTGCTATGGTAACATTTATAACGAAATGTTATGTAAGTAAGAAGATGAAGACAGAGTGCCATGGTAAAATGGACACACAGATCGCCACCACTTTACAGATTAGGTAAACCTAACAGTGAAAGATCACCTCACTCATGATCTGTGCATGAGTTGTGGGCGGGGCTTATAAGTTATAGCAGATCACGGTTCCCCCACCAACTGTTGAAAATGTAAATTGTTAGGCCTACCCATTGGTCAACTTGGGTAAACATTCTTTGGAGGGACTAACAATAACGACAAGTGAAAGTATTAATGATGTCCCGTCCACAGCGTGAGGAGCTGATTCAAAATTTATGACAAAGTATTGGGCAATGAGTGACCACGCCTGGCCGCCTGAGGCAGATAAATTTGACAGTGGGTTTTTAAAAAAGGTGCCCCCCCCCCCAACCTTCTTTTTTCCTTTGTTCTTTTTTGTGTGTGTTGATTTGTGTTATCTATGAACAATCTCATGGGGCTCTTGTGACCTAGAGGTTTAAGGTGTTGGCCTCTCGTTCAAAGGTCCCGGGTTCGAATCTGGGCAGCGACCAAAAAATTTTCTTCTCTAAGATTGTCTCCATTCACCTCCTTTCTAGCTCTCTAGCAATCTTCTGTCGTCTGCTTTTGTCTCCTCTTTCTGCCCCCATCCCTCACCTCCTTTAAGAACAATCTCAGCAGTTCTCGTTCCTTAAATTTAGCCTGTACCAGTACCATCTGTACCTCCTCTTTCCCCCCCCCCCCCCCCCCCCCCCAAACAAAGTTGTACACACACACACATGCGCGCGCACACACACGTAAACTCATACACACACACACAAAGATGTCGATGATGAAACCAACCTCGCACCCCATAGTGACGTACTTACCCCATCACACTCAAAGCAGCAAAGTGGGCCCACCACGGCGCGGACAAAAGCCCAAAGCGCAATTTATATAAGTGCAATATCTTGGTAGTTGAGAATCTTTGGCATTTCGGCTCAGAATTGTGTGCAATGGCGTGTGTATAGCAAAAAATGTATTGATGCACGCAATGCGTGTGTACAGCACAAAATGTTTTGGTGCTCGCAATTGCGTGCTTATAGACACTCCCCAGATGCACTGTTTTGAGGACTAAACTACCATAATTTTTGCTGCAGAATACATATACGGCCACTTACTCAGTAAGACCCTTGCAAATCAAACCTGAAACCCCCTAGACTTTTTTTTTGAAGTCAGGGGGGCATGCCCCCTGAACCCCCCCATGTTGTTACAAACAAGTCAAGTATTGTTACGCCACTGATCCTATTGTGATAGTTTGAAATTTAATAGTTTGTATACAAATGTCCATATCTTATAACTAATAATCTGCAGAGGATATAGTAAAATCAAAATTTGTGTATTAAGTAGATAAAAATGAACAAGGAATAGTGCTTTAGAACTAATCTTGAGACGGGTCCATGAGTAAAATAACTGAAACTTCTACCAATCTACCGACACACACACACTCACATCCCCCCCCCAATTATTTTGAACCAAGCAAGATTCTAAAATGATTTTGTGAGGGTCAAATTTTTTGTCCAAATGATGGTGCTCCCAATCTTCCGTGTATGGTTACAGTCCGTACTTTTTGACAGTTCTGTATTTGCTGCTCCATCTGTAAAAATGTGCGATAGCATATGGCTACCGAAATTACGTAGCAAAGGGTCAGTGCTCGCCTTTGTATCGTCTTGCATAAGTTTAGGATATTTACGGTCAATTGTCTTGGCAGTTTAAGTATATGAAATTAATGTTTTAAGTTATTATAGACACCTGCCAGATGTCATATCATGTCTTTGGCAGTTATCCCACTATGCATTCATTTCGGGTTGGTCGGCAATACATTTTTACCTGCAGGTTGCTCAAAATCTGGCTAGCCATGATAGCGAACTTTTTGTGCTAATGTCCTCCTTTCTTTCTATCTTCGGATTGTTAGCGCGACTGGAAACTCTTCACTTTGATCAAGTAAAATAATGTGTAGGCTACTTTTAGACAGAAAATCACTTTCAGAAAGAACTTTCTTTGCAAATTTGTCTAGATCTAGAGAAATCGTCAGTGCTATGATTTAACGGGAGCTTATGCATTAAAACAAATAAAAAGTGATTCGAAGTGATGCTCTGCTGTTGGGACCTTTGACATTTAAAAAATGTGAGTATGGAGGAAAATTAGGGTGTATACGTATGGTAAAACTGTATTGTCAAGGTTCATGTCTGTCTCTGTTAATGGTGGGATATATGTTAATTTATAGTAGCAATGGCAAGGGGAACCTGCTCTTAAACATTGCTAGCAATGGAAAGATAAGTAGGTACAGAAATTAAGCAAGAAAAAAATTTGGTGAAAAAATAGATGTTATGGTTAGTTTGGCAATCTCTTCAGACAGACTCCCAAATGCCATTTTCAACCCTCTAAAAGCACTAAATTTCAATTTCTACGGGTGCTTTGTCCCCTGAGCCCCCCTCCAGGACACGATCCCTGGACGCTGATGGGGGCCTATATGGCCCCCAGACCCCTCACAGAATATTCCTTGTTTTTCAGCTTCAGCTGTTGGAAATACTGAAATCTTGCCATGTACCCAGGATAACATTACTGATTTTTTTAAATACCCACTGACTTTTATGGCTAGGAAAGGGGCGAGCCTCTCCCAGGAAACCCCCTTATAAATTTCACAGCGGCCGGGGGGGAGGGGGGGGGGGCGCGCTCTTAACCCAATATAAAAACATTGGTTTAACAGTCTACGGAAGACAGATCCAATAGTACAAAATTATTTTTTTTTAATTTCTAGAGTCATTGGTGGTAGAAGTTTTATGAAAGAATGTTTTTGAATGGACGTACACGGTGCTGAGCCCAAAAAAATAATTGAAAAAAAATCCAAACTGGCCGAAAAATGCAGATTTCTTCGAATTCATTATTTTGGCAAACGCCTGATTTCACCGTGATGCCTCGCATATTGTATTTTAATGTTTTGGCTAAATCTGAATGAAGATTACCTTGAGGTAGATTTCCATAGATGTATGCATACATTGTAGGCTTATTCACTTTTACTCATAATGATGAAGTAGTAGAATAACCATGATTACACAAGTAGGCTACACACATAAGATCGTCATGATGCAATATTATAGTTTGAGAGCATATTTTCATGGTATGGATGGGGGGGAGAAACATTATATCCTCCATGCTCAAATATCTATAAGTTATAAATCTGACTGACCTTTTTGTTGATTATGCACATTATCAATTTGAGTTTGTATAAATATAATCAAGCATTCAAACCTTTTTTTTCTATCTTTTGAAACACAAATAACTGTTGTTGTGACAGAATGGACACATGTCTATCATCATGCCTTGTTCATTTGTTTTTTGATTGAAATGTAAACAATTAGTTATTTGCTTTTATTAACTATTTATGGAGAATACAACTTAAATTAATTAGTTTTCAATTTCTTTGCCCCCAAATCATGTAAGTACCCGCTCATTCTGTTCATTGAAATAATCTGTTATAATATCTTAGTGTTTAGTATTTTGGCTCCGTTTCCCCTTCTTTATTCCCGCTCTCCATTATTTTAGGAATTTTGTTCCAAATACCCACAATTTCTGACATGTGCACAGCCATAACTTTTATATTTATTGACTGATTTTCAAAAATTAAAAAAACATCTTGCTAGAGAAATATTAATCTTTACACATCTGTGTTGTTTATAAGTTAGTAGATCTAGTACATATCTTTGAAAAAGCTGTTGAATTGAATTACTACCCATCTTGTCTGTTAGAAGTATATTTTTGCATATCCTCATTAATGTAAGTATTAATTTAGGGATAATAGATGCCATATGAACTTTTGGAGGAATTTTCACTTTAATTTACAAAACTTAATTCTCATTTTTTTCTGTTATTCTATAGTCTACTTCTGCTGTTTAAAGCTCAGTCTGTTATTTGATATGATAAATGCACATAAGGCTGCTGGATAATTTTTTCCTTGTCCAATCAAAGTTATGATATTGAAAGTCGTGTTAATGGAAAATATTTAAGTTGAAGAACTTCAAGTTGAAAGAAACGAAAGTATGTACTTTGCATTGTCATTGTGCTTCAGTTTTCCTACTTTGTAGGGACATTGTTTTCCAAAATTTGTAATTTATATGCTATTATTGAATATGTTAATCTGTATTTTTTAAACTTTAGATGCCGAGAGTCACTCGAAGAAGTTTGGCTGCAAAAGAGGAGTCTTCAACTCCAGAGCCAGCAGCCAAGTCAGGCCGTGGAAGGAGGTAGGTATTTGTGTGGTTGCCTAAAGGAAAAGATAGCATTTATTGTTCTCGTGAGAAAATTATTTAGTGTGATGAGTTGTCAGTTATCATTATGATTTTTACCAAAATTGACCCATATAATTGACTTCTATCTTGTTCCTTATTTCTAGATTTCTTGTTTCTTTTTCTACACTATTAGGAAAAGCTTGTGTGTATGTGTCACAGCTTGTAAGAGAATGATGTCTGGGTTTCACTTCATTTTTGTTTATTGTTGCACTGAATTTGTAGCCTTTAATTGTTTAAAAAAAAAGAAAAGAGAAATTCAGCCAATGTGTATCTTCAGTGCAGACATAGCTGGTTGTAGTTTCGGAAGCATATTTTATGCCCTAAGGCAGTTCGCTTGTCTTATTTAAAACTGTTGTGACAACTTGTTGTGTTTTGCAAGAGGGCCTGAATGGTAGACATCCTGCAAAGAATAAACAATCAGGTCATGAATGAGGTCTGATGTTCTGACCAGTTCATTAATGAACTGATTTTGAGTCACATATAAAATGGAAAAGAAGAGTTTGTTTGAATACAGGTGTTTGACTGAGAGATGCCGTTGGTGTGTCTTGTTACCTCACTCTATCATTCCTGTAGGTATTGCTTTTTACCATCACTTTATAACCATTATTGTGTTGGAACATTTCTCTTTTGCTGCTAAAATAAAAAGATCAAGATAACAAAACTGTAAACGGCTTGAAGTAAAACAAAAATAATGCAATAATTCTGGGTTGATAAGTTTTTAACACGTTACTGAATCAATGCTATGAATGTGGGTAAAATGTGATATTTTCCTCATTTTTGTAGGGGTGCCAAGAAAGAAGAGGCAGAAGATGTTCCAATAGGCGAGCCTCAAGAACTCCCTACAAAACGTGGGCGTCAAGCTGCAGCTGGTGAGTTTTGTGCAAGTCTTATCTTATAGTCAAAGATTTCCCTAAGGCAAGTGTCAGTGCTTTTTGTGTTCTGCTTCTCGTATGGCATTTTGTGTTTTCCTTTAATTTCCTGTACCTTCTTAAAAATCTTTCTGGGTGTCATGGTACTGCCAGAGATTTTCTTTTTGTACGAGGAATTTTGTGTGATGTCATGACAATACATTAGTGGTTTGGCTTAGTGTCTAAAGAGTTGGACAAGTCAGCTTTGAATATTACTTATAATTTTTTTAAACAGTTATTGTGAATACCCCCTGGGGCAGTGCCACTGACTGAAGTGTCTTTAGGCCATTCCCAAAGGGGGGACATTTCTTGTTCAAGCATAGTAGAATTGTATATGGGCTGACTCATGTCACGCCCATAACTGTGCCTGATCTACAACAGGGAACTGCTGCTTTTTCTTTCCTAATCCTTACTATTGTTATTTCCTATACTTCTTTTGTATGTTTGTCACTCTCTTGTGACCAGCTATTTTGGGGTGCCTTGATAGTCGAAGCAGACCTTGTGCTGTTGAAGCTAGAGAGGTGAGCAGTCTAAGTCTGATTCCCTGTAAAGACTTCTCTGTTTACACCCACCCCATGGCACTCATATGACCATATACAGTTGCGAGCGCCGTAAAACCCTCTACTATTAAAAAAAAAAAATAAAAAATTATTGTAACTTCAATTGTCAGGCGCTCATAAATGCAGTTTCTTTTAAATCTTGGTTTCTGATTCTAGTATTGCTTCCTTAATATATTTTATGTCTGATTTGAATGTTTTGAATAAATTTATGACAATACTGCATAGCTGCCACTTTCCTTCTCAATAGCGGAAACTCCGCTTCATCTAGCTTTTCTCCGCAACTTTCCTCCTTCCTCCGCTGGACCGCTCTTGGTTGCAAATTTCATACTTTTTTTTCCCCGCGAAAAACACCGAACCGGGAGAGAGACGAAAACGCGGCTTGCGCGTGTCCGCCCGTAGCTTTCTACTTCCGTTCTTCTAGGCCCAGCGCTAGTTTCACATTGTTTATTGTTGTGGAGCAACACAGTGTCGATCGGGCATCGGGACATTAGCGTGCCGAGTTGTCATTGAAATTGGCGGAAATTCGAGAGATATTGAAGCAGAATGCAAAAATAAAAGGAGCTGGAATGAGAAAGAAGCAGCCGGTGTGCGACTTGAAAAAGTTCATTAGAAAATTGAACTAGCCGTTTTCTGCTAAAGAAATCGTGGCCTGCGGCACTCCTGTACAATTGCGGTCCCGTTTGTTTACATTACGGCTATTGTGGCTGCTGTGGAAGTGAATGTAGATCTAGATCTAGATTAGATAGCCTAGGCTATAATTTTAATTCAGTTTAGATCTCTAAATAAGAAACACACTACAAGGGCACTAAGTGCAAACGGGACCGCAATTGTACATGAGTGCCTGCATTCTTGATGCGATAGTGCTCTGAGTCTACGTCTATGTGTACAAGTTTAAAGTGAAAGAAATCTTTTTATGAGACACCAGCTGGCAAAAAACACTGGATTTTTAGTCACCAAGTCCAAACTGTGTCAAATTGACTCGAATGCTTGTTAGTCAACTTACTGCCTTTCTGGGTTTTTTTTTGGTTTTTATTCAAATACATTTTAATTCAGTTGCCTATGGTTAACAATATGACAGTTTTCCCTTCCAAAACCGTAGGTTAGATTTTCCAGTATATATTGCCTCTGGATCTCGCTGATTTCGGAGAGTGCCTTCACGTGAATTTCCTCCTTTTAAAAAATTTCTGAGTGGCAGCTATGATACTAATGCAAGACTATTAGATTATGATATTAGTAAGGCTGGAAATATGATCGTTTCAAATTTATTTTGTCATGGTTATTAACAGTTTAATTTTTTATCATAAGATGTGATGTCATGAGAAGTGACCTAACGGCTGACTGTTTTATCAACTGAAATGATATGTGATGCCTCATAATTTTTGTATTGCTATTTCCTGTTGGAAGAGATATATGTTGGGCATTTTAGTATGTTTGAAGAAAATTTTGTTTGTTTTGCAGAAGCTGAAACGTCTGGCAGAGGCCGTTCAGGTGGTAGAGGCCGCTCTGCTGCCAAAGGAAAGAAGCAGGAAGAACCTGAACCAGATGATGTAGAGGAAGAAGAGGAGGAGGAGGAGGAAGAGGAGAAGAAGCCCCAGAGAGGAGGCAGGGGACGAGGAAGGGGAAAGGGAGGGAGAGGCAAAGGTGCACGAGGGGCGAGTAGAGGAGCAAGAGGAAAGGCAGCTGAAGCAGAGAATGAAGAGGAAGACGAGGACGAAGAGGAGGAAGTAGCTGAAGAGCCGAAAGCGAAGACAGGACGAGGTAGGGGTGGAAAGTCCAGTGTGTCACCGTCCCCACGAGTTGGAAAAAGAGGAGGCCGGGGTCAAGCAGTGGAAGAGGAGGAGAACAAGGAGAAAGAAGACAGTGCAGAAATCGGACAGGGAGAGGGAAAACTGGCAGAAGTAGAGAATGCTCCTGAAAATGTGGAGGAGGACAAAACGCCGAGTGGCAGAGGGCGCAGAGGAACTGCAGCGAAGAGTGCAGAGACACCGGCCTCGGGTGGCCGCAGGAGTGGACGCGGCCAACGATCAGCTGAGGCCACCCCAAAGTCAGTAACACCTGCCCGCTCCTCTCGTAGGGGTCGAGGGTCAGCTGCAGCTGAAGAGGAGGAAGCCTCAAAACCTGTGGAGGCGGATGAGATGGAGGCTACCAAAGCAGAGGAGCCTATGGAAGCAGAGACCGCCCCCCAAGCTGAGCAAAAGACTGATTCTGAGACTCAAGGCGAAGACAAAACAGACTCTAAGGATGTTGAAGCAGCAGAAGAGAAAGAGGAAAAAGAAGAAGAAAAGAAAGTAGAAGAAATGGATACAGAGGCACAACAATCTGAGGTTTGATTTGATTTTAAAAACCTTTCTTCTATGCATAACTATGAATGTTTGACTGGAATTACAGTTCTTTAAACATCCTGTGGTATGCTAAGAATGATTTTTTAGCTCAACTCTCTTGACTTTCCTCAAATCCTCTTTGGTGGCAGTGAAGATTAAGTGTGGTCATGTTATGGTATTCTTTTCTTCTTTTTTTTTCTTTTCTGGTTAACTGAAGATGGCATTATGGCTAGATTGCGATTACGTATTACTCCTTGGGTTTTTTAAAAGGTACTGTTCTTTGGCTGTCATTTCTGTTTGTTACATTTTTCTTAACATGGACAGATATTTCATACACGATGAGCAATTCTGTCATTGTCATGTTAGTGTTTTCCATAGAAAGTGGGTCAGTATTTGATTGTGTCGTGCTTTTAGATTTTATTTTCATGAAATACAGTAAAACATCTAGTCATCATGTGTGTCCTATTAATAAAGAAATGTGGTCGTTATAGCGAAGATAATTGTATACTTTTATGTCTGAAGTCAGGCATTATTATTTTGGGGGAGTCTAGTCGAACTGTTTTGCATTAAATCTTTCTCTGAAGATACTGTTTTTTGGCTGAATTATATGTACAGAGTTCTTAATGGCCTATTCAAATTACTATTAATATTGATGGAAATTCTAAAAAGAAACTAAGATATGTGTACAGTGTAAAGATATTATGTCTTAATGAAGTTGCTCAAAGAAGATGAGGAAAGTTGGAGATTTTCTTTAGAACCTTGGCAAGTTGTGAAAGGGGATGTGACTCATGTATTGTTATTTTGTAGGGTTAAGCATCAGAGTTTGTTCCCTGCCTTTGTTTTCTTGTTTTAAATTTAAAAATTGTGAAGTCCATGGGTCAGACAGAGTCAGCTCAGCCTTTAGGCAAATTGTGCTATGAATGTAAGACTTTGATATTTTCCCATTGCTCTTTATTTTTCTTTTCTCAGCAGTGTGCCCATTATCTCAGTTTCGGTATTTTTCTTATAATGCTTTCCTCCCTAAAATTAGAGTTGATCATCATAACAGGAAACCCAGTCCTCAATAATTTCCTTCATTCAAACTAACTCTTAATGTTGTTTTTCTGTAAGTAAAAGTGGTCACAGCTAAGAGGGCTTTTTGGGGTCCCTTGCATATTGTGATGAAAAGCCCTTGTAACAATGTATAACTTTTCACTGTGGGTGCTTGCTTATTTTTAACAGGTGCTTTATTTTTGTTTTTTTGCTTGTTGCTTTTGAATGACATTTTATGAAAGAGCTTATTCTAATCCCCCTTTTTGTCACTGTTACAGGAGCCCAAGGATGGACCAAGCCCAAGTAAGAAGCGTAAACTTGATGATGACGATGCTGATGAGGAAAATGTCACAAAACGCCAGAGAACTTCAGAGCCTGTCCAGGCTGAATCAGCACAGGAAGAAGCAGAGCTTCAGGACTTTGTGGTTGTTAATAAAGATGATGTGCCCGCTCCAGACAGCAAGGAGGTACTGAATACATCACTGTTAGTTTTGAGCAGGGATATTCAAATCCAGACTGGTTAGCTATGTTGGCCTGCTCACCATTTTCTGTTGACCTCTGTAGCATTATCTTAAAGGTGGAGATGACAAGAATTCTCACAAGATAGATCCAACACACAGAGTATCATCGAGTATTCTTTGCCTTTATTTATTATAGAAAAATAACTGCTGTTTAGTTCAAAATAACTAAAAAGACTACGCTTTTTTGAATTACAATCGAAACTGTCTGCGACGTCCACCCATTTTCAAGGAGGGAAGTGGTTTTCTTACATGGTTTCATTATAATGTAAAAAAAACAAAACTTTAGGAAGAAAATGAGAAGTGGCTTCTTGCACTGGTGATTGTCTTATACAGGGGGCTGGCTGTATTTGAAAGGTCAAAGGCACATTATTGTTCTTGAGTAGCCATTGAAACCAGATCTTTGGTTGGTTTTGAGGAACTTAAGGGGAATACACCTAGAGATGTCTTTCAAAATACTGTGTACGGGTTGTTTATTTTCAATAATTAGCCGTTGATATCGATGTGACCTTTGAGAAGGTGTTTGCCTGTTTATACCTCCTTGCAAAAGTGCTTTATCTGAGGGCTTTACTTATCAAGATATATCTGAAAAGCCGCCGCTTTCCTTAATGTACCATCGGCTGAGGAGTTGTATGATTTCCTTCCACACCTATAGGATGGCTCCTCGAAAGTTTCAGGGGTTCATATGTGGCCCTCACCTGATGAGACTGGATAGACACCACAAGTTAGAGCTTAGTTATAAAATCTTCCATCACTTATTAAATTTCAATAGTAAATGACATTTCCTCATTTGCATTCAGATTGTCCATAAAATTATACATGTATATAATGGATTGAACATATTCCAATTATTTCTTTCCGGAAATAAGTTTTGTCAATGTGTAAATTGTTCTCTTCAGTCCCAGCTGTTTGTCAGCTTTGAATGTGACTGTTTTCTAGTTGAAATGAGATGGATTAAAAAGATGCCTAGCACACACACTTTAGACTATTGCCATATTTCTCTAAAGTGATGAGTTCCATACCTCTTTTCCTTCATTTGCAGGTGACGGAGTTGGCTGCGAAAGCCACCCCTGTGAAAGAAGATCCCCCCGCAGCCCCTACAGAGTCCACAGAGCCAGTTGCGGAGAAGGCCATGCCCGCTCCAGTGGAGATCCCGGTGGTTGTGCCTCTAACGGAGGCCGAGCTAGCCAAACAGTACACAACTATCCATAGAGTGAGTGTGTTCAGCTTTCTTCTGTTACTGTTTAAGCTAGTTTGGCAATCAAACCTTCCCGAAATATCTGGAAGTTTCTGACTTAAAATTTCTGCCCATGAAGTCCAGAAATAGGTGAATGAATACTTCAGGATTTCTGTTTGAATTGATTGTATTTTTCTCCCAGTGTGTGTGTATGTGTTTGGGGGGGGGGGGGGTGTATTAATTATTAGGCTCGACATGCACTTGGACAAGATGTGACCTCTTGCATTGTAGAGCCATACAAAAGTGGTCGTCTTTGCTGTGATGTGCAAGTCAGTTTTTGCTTTGGTGTATGTTTCTATCTTCTCTCCTTGTCATTGCCTCTTTATCTGAGCGTAATACTCCTTCCAAAATGACCCACTTGTATCTAGCTATATAGTAGGGCTGGATTCTGCTCGGTTAATCGAAGGCTTGTAAAACAGCGGAAGTCTTGCGCTAGAGTCTTGCGAGCAGGCTTGTGGTTTGATTTGCCTCCCGCTTGCTACCGGAGGGAACTTCCGGTGAGTTGTGACTCGCGGACAGTCCTGCTGTACTGTGTCGTGACGTCGCAAACTCTCGTGGCTGTGCGCTCAGTACATATTATAGATTCTCTGGTTATTTGCGTTGAGAGGCTTGCACCAAAAGTGCAAGATCGGTTGTTGTTTTTTTCATAGTTCGGTTGTAAAAAACAAAAAGCTCTGTTCAATGCACTTAAAAATTAATATTGGATCGGCTATTCTAATGATGTTAAGGCCTGTTTATTTTTAATGTGCATGAGCCAAGCGCTTCATCGTCGCACGCAAAAGACCTCAGTTCGATTCCCGTATGGGGAGAAATTTTTACTGAGAACCTCCGTCTTTCTGCTGGGGCGTTGTTCCCTCTCAGCCCAGGTTGGCCCTGACATTGGGTTGAAGTAGGCCTAGCCCGTCTCCTAAATGTTCTGTATTATGTCACTGTGAGTGTAAAATAGGTTACATACATACGATACAAAAGCCAATCACAACGACCCCTGGAGTTTTCCATTTTAGGGTAATCTAAGTCAACTTATTCTTATTACTACCAGAAACCTAGGTCTCTGTTACTACAATACCACGCTCCCTCTCACTTATCCATTCGCTTAGCAGATCAACGGCGGGAAGTTAAAAATAACTTCAGCTCTCTACGCCTTGCACCAAAACAAGCCCTGCCTCTCCCTTCCTCCACGGTTCAAAGTTCACACAGCGAACAGTACTGACTTGCTGTTTGAACACATCGGACTGTCTTGTCGCCATCAAGACGGTCCTACGCCATCGAGCCCGTGCCGCTCGCTCGGTGTATCGAGACAGTACAAGTCAGCAGGTCAGGTTTGGAGCTTGTCCTGGGGCAAATCTCTAAGCCTAGCGCAAATCAGTACTATGTGAATTGTGAGGCCTGTGGCAGCGGACGGGACTTGAGGCTTGCGCAGGCCTCCGATTAATCGAGTAAACTACAGCGCCATGCCGCGCAGTGACTCTGTGTGCGAGATCTCTCACTCTCCCCCTCTCTCTCTTTCTGACATAAGTGGCTTCGCGGATAGCAAGTAGGGTGGGGATGATGAGGGGGCCTGACACGAGTGGCTTCGCGGATTGCTAGTTGCTGTGGACTTGAAGTTTAGACTAGACCAAGGAGGTTACAGTTTGCGCTAGACTCAACTTATCATGCTGGTGATTTGATTTGATGATTTGACCTAGTGATTTGAGGCTTGTGACTTGAACTAGGGGCTTGTGAGCACGAGCGGGTTTGCTACCGGGGTACTGCCCTACTATATAGTGAACTCACTCACACACAAAAAGACAGCAAGCAAATGTTTATTTCTGTAAGGACAAATGCAGGGAGAAGAGGCGGATTTTTATTAATTGACGGTTTTGAGATTTTGTCTATTGTTTTCTTGGCCCTGTTTTTGACTCGGGTAAAGTTAATTATTGTGTTAGCCACAATTTGCTTTGTGCAAAGGTTTTGTAGAACATTTAAAAGATGGGTCTGGTACTTTGAGGAGCAGCTTCTCAAATCAATAAATATTTGACAGAGCAGAGTGAATTATGGAGCAAAAATGTGTATCTTGTTTTCCATTTAAATCTTGGAAAGGATGAAAATTATATTCTTGGGAAAGCTTTAACTTTATACAACTTGAGTCCTTGAAGTTGTCACATGCCATGTTTGTGCTTTGTCTCCATATAGGATAGGGATGAGACGTCTTCTACCATGGTTGAAGTGGGAAGTGAAGCAGCCTCTGATATCACCGGTCTCTCTTCCCGTGGACTGGACATCAGCGATGCTGTGTCCATGGACTCCACCTCCATGGACCAACCACCTTCTGAAGCAACAGAGCCCCCTATGGATACCTCGGCCTCTTCCTCTCCCAAGGAAGCGGACCCTGTTGCTCCCCCACTTGTTACAGAAGTAGCAGCAGTCCCCCCTCCCACAGCCCAACAGAACAGCCTGCCTGCAGCAGCATCGGCCACTGCAGAAAGCACAACTCCAGTTCCGGCAGCAGCGACAGACACCTCGTCTTCGTCTTCAGTTGAACCCGCAGCTCCTCCAGTTGTTAATGACAATCAGCAGCAGCCTCCGCCTCCCTCAGCCAACTCGTCATCTGTCCCCTCAGCTCCTGCCCCTCCGGCTCCCTCCACAGAATCAAGCACACCATCAGCACTACTGGCGCCTAATCAGCTCATTCCAACACCTGCCGCCAAGCCAAACGGCACCATTCAGGTTAGTGTTAAAGCTTGTTTTGGTCATAGATATCTTGCTGGATGCCATTTGGTGTTACGAGGTGGGGCATATTTACTTGGAAAGATAAGATGCAGACCCAGTACACTTTTCCTTTTGCTGTGTGAAACCAAAGTATTTTATAGGAAAGTACAAATGCCTTTTATTGTCGCCTACATTACCTCATGACTGCATCTGAGTTGATTTTCAACTCTTGCGCTGAAGACATAAAAGTACTGTAAAAAATAGGTGACAATTAGGATAGAAGCCCATTTTAGTAGGGACAGCCTGAGATGGCAGAGTGGCGAAATTAAGTTTGCATCAGTGTTGATATAGTAAGTGAGATGTCAAATTCAGGTTTACATATTTTTTTGTATCTCAGGGAAAAAAGTTTTAGTTTTCTTCATTCTTATTTCCAATTGAAGGTAAAGAGTAGACAGGCTTAAAAAGAAATAATATATGAATAGTTGAATACAAAGAGCAGATTGATAAGACACTCTCCAAATGTTTGTGGAGCTTGCATCGGGTGTTGTCATTCTAACTTGCTATTTTACACGCTGCATGTTCGTATGAGTTGTGCACAATCTGCCTTTAAGGATAGTTGATATCATGAGAAAATCTGTGCATGTTGTTTATCTATATGCCCTTTCATAAGTAGATCAAGAAATTTGTTCCTTTCGAAATACGTTTCAGTTCTTGACATTTTCTATTTTTGCAGTTAATTTGCTCTAAAACTGAGTTGATTTTGGGACAGCATGTAACATTTTTTTCTCTTCACAGGGTTCAGGACAGGTCAATTCATCCCCATTAACAACGTCAACACCAGCAAAACCACCTCTTCTGGGCAGTAATCCTGACAAATATGTGCCGTCTTCGCCAGCCATCGACAAAAGAAAGTTCATCCAAAATCCTAGCTTCCCCATAGAAATGATGGATCCAGCATTCTGTTTCAGCGTGGTCACCTACAATATTCTAGCTGACTGCCATCTGAGAAGGTAAAATTTCATCTAACATAATCTTCAAGTTTGGATTTGAATTGTTTACTGTTTATATATCATTTGGCCCTTAAGGAATTGTTTAGCATGAAAACATATTTTCAGTGTAATTCTAATTTGTATTATAAATATGTAAAACAATCTCAATTTTTTTGAGTTAAGAAAAATTTTGCTTCCCTAAATCAGAAATTATGTTAACTCTGTTTATGCTTGGGCAAAAAACGTTCTTTTAAAAATACAGTCGAAATTGTCGAAGACAGCTATCCTTTGTGAAGGAGAAAAGTCGTCGTTTAAGACAGGCGGATGTCTTTGATGGTGTCATTTTGACAGAAAGAAATACGGGGGGGATTCATCATTTGATGGTTGTTCTGGTCAGGTGGCTATAAGAGCAAATTCGACTGATGTCTAAATTGTCCTTGTTTGTGACTTATAATGATCAAGCACCTCTTTTGGAGTTGTTTCAAGTGACAGTGTGGACTATTGTATAACATGAAAATGAAATATTCTTGATGTATATGGCCAAACTAAGAAAAATGCTTGTGTGCTGTATTTTGCTGTGCAAAATTTTTGACTTGGGTGTCCATTTGTGACATTTTTTGTCCCGTCATACATATGGTTGCTCCAATAAAACTGCTTTGTGGATAGTTGACGGGTGCTCTGGTGTGGTTTGCTCCTTTTTTACTGTCAAACTTCTATTGTCCTTATCTCTCTTCTCATTTCTTTGTTTCTTCTTACTCTCTTGTAACACCTCTTCAGCACTCATATGACCTAATCGTGTTGCAAGCGCCGTAGAACTCTTACTAAAACTAAACTGAAGAACACGGATGTCGATGTATGTCAATTGTCATCCTTTCATACATCTGTTCTTGATGGGTGCTTCAATAAGCACCTTTGGTCCTTCTTTTCTTTCCCTCTGTTGTCACTATCCACCGTCTTTTTCCCTGCACTAAATCTAAACAACTGTTATTGAGTCGACATATATTTCTCTTTGCTCCAACTAGATGGGACTACTCTTTTACGGAGCCGCAGTACTTGGACCAGACCTATAGGCACAACTTGATGATGAAGGAGCTGGACTACCTGGACGGGGACGTCGTGTGCCTGCAGGAGGTCAACCCTCTCTATTACACGCAGACACTCTACCCTGCCATGCTCAAGTGAGTGCATCTCGTGTTCGTCTTCGATGAGATGGGTCGCTTTCTGGATTTGTTTTTACTACCTATAAAGCGTATATTATGACTATTATATTGATGATATTGTGACTGATGTAAATATTTTGATTTAGTCTTTCTTACCCACTTACCCTCTGGAGTGGAGTTGTTCCGTGCCTCCCAAATCGCTATTGGGGTAGTAGTTCGCGATGTTTTATACTGAGCGCATGCCTGACGTTGCCGTGGTATGCATTTCCTTTAGGTTTAGGCAGAATGTCTGACTAGATATGACTGAAAATGAGACTATAAAGTGAAAGTAGAGTGGTGCTTTTAAAAAAAATTTTGAATGGGCGAAATCAACTCAGAAACTGTATGGGAATTTTGGAAGTAAGTAATACGAAATGGAGTTGAAACTCGGACATATCAAAGGAAACTTTGAAATAAACAGGACGAGTTGAAAGTTCAATTGGCGATCTACCCTTAATATCATATTTTTAAGTTGCTGGTCAAGATCATTATTTTTTTGATTTGACAAAATAGATGGGTAATGTATGAAAACCTGATAGTCATAACTATAATATGAGAATTAAATAACTTGCTCATACTGTACCAAAACTGGCTCGTTGGAATTAGTATTCTTTGCTTAACATTTTTATGTTTTGTCCAGCTTATTTCCCTGAGCTGAAACAGGATTCTAAGGCAGATTTTTTATTTTTAGAATGGTTTCTTCGCCATGCAAATTATAGATTAAGAAGATTACATTGTATAGTTCAAACAGGCTCTTAGGTGGGTGGGGTTCATGATACAGACTTCAACAAAAGTTAAGGACCACCTTGACAGACAGGCTTGATTTTTTTTAAATCCGGAAAAAAAAGACGGGAAGGTATGTTTCAAAATTTTTTGCTGTGAAAGTGTTGGTGGGTTACCGATGCGTACTGCAAAGCTTCCCATAGGTGCAAAACCACCACGTGCTGCACGCAAATCATCAGGGAATTTTAGTCACATTTGCTGTTTTTTATCGACTTGAGTGCGACACCGGGGACATTCCTCAGTTAATATTTCTAGTGCACGTCATAAACGGACGTACGGTCTCGAACTGTGCTCACTTTGGTGGCAATATAAGCTGCAGTTTGCTCAAAATCCAGTATCGCATCGACATACAACCAAGACGAAAGTTGGGAGACTTCGATGGTGCCAGAGCTATGGCATGGCTGCAGGATGGAGTTGGAGCCCGAGAAGTTGCCCAGTTGCCAGAGGGCTTGTCGTGTCACACTTAGTCATTGTCCGCCTGAAGCAGTGCCATCAAGCCACTGGATCCATCCAAGAGCGCCCACATGTAGGTCGACCCAAGAAGACCACTCAGTGTTTGCAAGTGGTCCTTAACTTTTGTTGAAGTCTATCTCATATTTTAGAAGCTGAACTGTTTGATATTCCAAAAGAGGGGTACATTTTTTTAAAACACGATAAAAAAAATTGTAGCTTTATCTTTGATTTTTTTACATTTTCCTTGTTATATATTACATTGTCTCTATTGTGCCCTTTTTCTTTTAGCCGGGGCTACGATGGTCACTTCATGAAGAGAACCAAAGACTTTTATGATGAGGGAGAGGCTACCTTTGTCAAGACGTCCAAATTTGATGTGGTGTCCTCAGAGGGTATTTCGTTGAAGGATCTTGCTTTCAAGGTATGTTTTTTTTTCAGGGAATGGAATTTGATTGTTAAAATATCTCTCTCTGTAAATTTCGAATTGTGTATGTGTTGGGGCGGGGGGGGAAGCATTTGTTCTATTTTCATATTTCAAAGGCTGTCTGCCAGAGAATGTGTATAAGGCTCTATTACATGATCAAAGCGAATTTCTGGCTTCATAGTCATCTTTCGTAAATGTAACTGAAACATTTGTTGGGTTTTTAAAAAATTTGCTCTTAATTTAAAAAAAATTTGTTATAGTTTTTGGTCTTTTTTGCATCGCAAAGTGGATATGATTTTGTGTGCAAATAAATGTGTGGTGTGTTTATTTTGTGGGTCTAATTGTGTGATCCTCTCTGTGCTCAAATTTTAGTTATCTGTTAGCATAAACAAACCATGGGTCCCTGATTAAATTCTTTCTTTGTCTTTTTTACAGCTTGAATGTTTAACAATTTTTTACCTTTTACAAAACTTTCTAGCCCTAATCCCATTCCATTCCCTGATACCCAGTGTAAAAACACACCCACATGTACACGCACACACACGCACTATTGTTTTGTAGCTGTCAATCTCTCTTTATTTCTCCAGGGTGTTTAAGAGAACTAGATATTTAGTGGTTAATAGTGATTTTAAAATGGAGAAATGAAAGTAGAGCATAGGCTCCTCTTTTTAATCCCTATTCCATTGTTATCCCCCTTTTGCAATCTTTCTACACAGCAAGACCTTTCATTGCCTAGTTGTGTGTTGGGTTTTTTTTTCCAATCTAATAAGTAGATTTGGTTTTGGCCGTATTTCTTTGAATATTCAGAGACATACATTGTACACACTGGTCATTTTGTGTATGTGAATAGTTTGCTTTTGTGTACTTCTATCCTTTGTTTTCAAGGTGGTTCAAAGAAGCCTGGCATATTTAAGAAGACCACGGGTTTTTTTTTTACATCGCTTGAGAAATATTCTCCCTCTACACATGCATTGTTCATCGTCATACATTGATGGACAAACTGTTTATCATTATTGTTATTATTATTAATAATAATATTATTATTATTATCATTATCATCATCCCAGGAAGTGGAAACAGCTGGCCTGAGTGAGGAGGTGGCTAGGGCCGCCAAAAAGTACCTGGACAGGGCTGATGTTATCTTACTCTCCCGGTTGACCTGCAAGAAGACGGGCAAGACCGTCACCATCTGCAACATCCACGTGGTTTATGATCTGGCAGCACCAGATGTCCAGTGTGTTCAGGTAAATGATGTGCTTGCTTGCACGAAATCCTGAAGTAGGGGTTCTTCTTTTGTTTCTTTTGTGCTTTCATGTGAGAATGTAAGGCAGATAAAAGCAGCACTGTCTTCTTTCTGTTTGCTGGGTCAGACCTCTTAGTTATTCCCCTAGGTACACAGTTGTGCCATAGGCTGAAACAATCTAAGTGAACAGTTTGTGTAATTAAGCAATACATCGTCTCTGTCTTCCTTTATTCTAAGTACTCCATCAAACTTTGTTTTTCTACTTCACTGTTATGTGATCCAGAGTGCACTGATGGACTTTTGAAGGGAATCGATTGATTAGTTTCAGTTATGATCGTTTACACTTTCTTATCTTGTAATAACCGATCTTCCACGTTTTTTTCCCCTTTCTATTTTGCTTAAAAATTTTACATGTATTTGTTCATTAAGACTACATAGGGTAAGACTCCGCCATACACCATTATGAAAAGCGACATGTGATGGAGTGTTACATTGAGCAATAAATTCTACAGCTAGTTTTAAGTGATTGTATAAAATATTTTGCACAGCATTCCACAAATCAAGACTTCTAATTTTAATATCTGGTGGTTGGGGGCTGCCGTTGGTAGGTCTTCTATCTTTCCCTCTGCTGTTTCTGACTCTCTATATTGTCATTGTCCTAACCTTGTTGTCTTGCTTAATCATTTCCTTAAGGTTTTTAATTACTGGAGTGGTGAAAGTGCCATCTGCTTGATTTTTATCCCTGCACGGGCAATTTTGTAATGACTGTTACTGTGTTGATGTTTCATAAAACAAAAAAGTCAAACAAACAAGACTGTGTTTACTTAGTTTAAAAAATAATTTGCGGGTGGTTGGTGGGATCCACTGTTGGGTTCGACTTCTTTACTTTCCCTCTTTTGTTGTTTCTGTCTGTCTTTCTTACCTTTTTCTCAGCACTAAATGGTCACTATTGTGTCAATGTGCTTCTCTTTATCTAAACACAAATTTAGTTCTTTCTGTTTATTTCTCCTTGATTGATGTTTTTTTGTTTTTTTGTTTATTTGTTTACATTTTTTTTAGATAGCTTGCTCTATAAATGCAGTAGTGGTGAGACTTCTGTTATGAGTTGCATTTTATTGTTTCTCTTTTGAAATTAACATTGAATTACTCATCACTGCTTTTGAAAGTCACGTTTCCATGCTTTCAGGCGAATCCTGATTGGCACTAGTTAACTGTACTCATTGTTTTTGTTTTTTGAAGTTGAAACTACTAACGTGTTAAAGTGTTGGGACACTGAGATTAGTCCCTAACCATTTTAAAGATTTTCCTTGCTAATTTATTGCTACATTTTCTAGGGTCATACCTTGTCTCCTAATGTTGTCATATTTGTAATTTCCTTTCATTGCATTTGCTGTGATTTTCATGCAGTAAAAGTCATAGAGATATATATTTTCAATGTTATTTCTGAAATGCTTGGATAATAGGATTTCTGTTTCAAAAGGTATTGGGGTTGGTTTACCTTTACATAAAAATTATACATTTTATTGATGTGATAATTAGTAGTAGTTAATTTTTCTATTTGTTTTCTGATTTTATTTTAACACTGAATTAAAAAAAAAAAAATTGATTTGCAGCTTTTGTAAACCTTTGATGAACCCTTTGCAATGTAGCTAAAATATTTCTTATGCTCTGTAGGTGGCCTCTGCCATTAAAGAGCTTGTCTCAAAGGCTGGCAATGATCTCAATCCCCACATCATCTGCGGGGATTTCAACTCGGAGGTGACCAGCCCTGGCTACCAGCTGGCAAAGGAGGGCTACTTGTCTGATGCTCACATCCGCAACCTCCAGGCTATGGAGACCATGGACAACACAGATGGATCTGTAAGTCGCTCAACAGGGCTATCATTGCCCTTGTGATAAGACTGGCTTACCCACTAAATATCAACATTTTAAAAGAATCTACGACCTGATAGTACATTATCCATTTCATATGATCTATTGAGGGCACGTTTCCATTTTAACTTAAAATGTTCTGGACACACCTTGCTGTGGAATGAAAACAATAAGTTTATTGCTTCTCCTTTAAAATTTACTCAGCTGGGGTTAGTCAGTCTTATCACAAGGGCGGCAATTTACTCAACGCTTTTCATGTGACATCAAAATCACACATCTGTAGCTGGGAAATCAGAGAGCCCAGTTTTAATAAGCACCTCTTGCTTGTGAGAAAGTAACCAGATAGTTCACTGTTATGGTTTCTAAAGTGAATATTGTGTTTTTTTGTATTGAAGGGTTGTAAAACATTCTTGTTCATAGATTGTATAGAAATGAAAGATCTTTTGCCTTGTATATAGCCCCGCTTATAAAGTCCTGTTTATGACTGCGAAAAAGAATGGTCCCCCCCTTCCCCCTTGCCTCTCCAAAGAAAGGATGTGTTAATTGTTTGTTGCTTTCAGTGTGGGGGCACACCGCCAGTGCTTCTCGTATATTCAGTTTTTCGAAAGTCCCGTTTTGGATGGAAGCGATGCAACATTTTTCGTTTTGTGCTGTTGTTCCTGAACATTGGCCTTGTAGAAAAGACTTCAGCATGGTATGAGTTATTAGCCTTGCGTCTGTCTCTGTGTTTTGGATTTCAATGGCTTACTGTACTAACTCACTGAAATTAGGAACACGTTTTAGGTACTTTGTGAGAACAGTTATGTAGTGGCGTCGGTGGCCTAGTGGTTAGGCTCTCGGACTCGCAACCGTAAGGTCGAGGGTTCGAATCCCGTCAGGGACCCGACGTTGTGTCCTTGGGAAAGGCACTTTACACGAATTTTCCTCACTTCACCCAGGTGGGAATGGGTACCCGGCTATAGACAGCGAAAGATCTTGTCAGTATGTTAGTGTTTGAGCGCTTAATCAGCTGCTTGCACTGTATGCTTCCCGGGAAGCTGAGAATGTTTCGGAGTGTGCTATGGTCTGCTGGGGTAATAATATAGTGTAAAGCGCATAGAGCCTGCTGTTGAGCGGGGATTTGCGCTATACAAATGCTATCTATTATTATTATTACTTGGGGACTGTTGTTGAGTTGTAGGTTTGGACATGCTAAGTGTTGCTAGCTTGCTGTACATTGGAGTTCACCTTCTCACCATCTGTAGCATGGGTCTCTGCTGGGCCTCTACTGGGAAGAAGTTTGGTGTGGTTTGGTACTGCTTGTTGAAACTCAAAACATTTTTTGTCTTATTGCCCCGTTTTATGAACATGCACATATTTAATTTCTTTTACAAAGCACATTTTAAATCTGTTTGATTCACGTGTAAAATGTTTTGCACTGTGTTGTATTATTTTGCAAGTGCAAAAAATGTGCGTGAAAGAAAGGTTGTTTTGGTGTAAAAAAAACTACAAATCTGTAGTATTCGGACTATGTTCATTTGTCTTCCTTGTTTTTGTCAGAGGAGGTAGTGTTCTGTGTTTCCATTACTGTTGTTCTGACATAATTGTTAATACAAACTTTGGCCATCGCTTCTTGAAATTTGATATGAGTTTGTCAGTCCAGCTTTTAGCTTTGTTGTGGAGGTATGCTGTTTTATTTACTCGGTGTTGGGACCGCTGTCTCAGTGGTATTAATACTTGTACAACTTTCTCAGAATGTAATGTGTCACTGTGTGTATTGTTATAAATGCAGTTTGGTTTGATTTGTGCCTAATAATAAAGCACATGAAGGTTACTTTAGCAAACATAAGGTAAACAGCACTACTGTTATAACCACACCCTGCTGCTCATAATTTACACCTAAGTATGCAGTCTGCTATTTGTTTATTTTTACTTCAGCCATAGTAGACTGGCTGGTTTGTTGGGGGGAAGTTGTGCTTTTTTGCTTTTGTGAGATTTTTTACCCTTTTTGCTTTTCTTATCAGTTTATTATTTGGATGGGACCGTTGTAAATTTGGGATTTTTTAAACAAATGAATCTTCTATTGACTAGATAGTACACTTATATTATGTTTTAAAAAACACATCACAAAGTGCAGTAAAATTTCTACTAAAGTGTGAACATAAATAAAACGAGATTGCTAGGATGGTGCTGGACAATGCCAAAGTGTATGGGTCCTAGGATGCTGTAGTGATGTACTCCCCCTCCCTCCCCTCTCTGCAACTTCTGGTGTTTTCTGGTGTGAAAAGGCTTCATGAGATCTTCTCAGGGTTGTCTTGAGTCTTGAAATATTTGAAAGTGACCTTTTGTCTACTTAATCATTGTCAGTATTGAGTGCTGTATTTTTCTTTTCTTTGCTAAGTAAGTTTACTTTTAAAATATCAATTCTTTCATTTCAGTATTATCATATTTAACGTCCCTTTTTTTTGGTTGCTTTTTTCCCTTTAGTCCCGGTCAATCATTAACCATCTGTGGAGGGCATTCCAGCATGCTTCTTCCAACTTGAGAAGTGCTTATGAGACTGCAGTGGTAAGTAAGACTGGATATTGCTTTTGGTCTTGTTGTATTGTTTCAGCACTAATAGGATTAGATGATTAAGATATGTCTTTTTTCCTTATATTTTAGATTCCTGGATAAAGTATTTTTGGTTTTGAATAGTTGGCAGCTATGCAAGTTAAAACAATTTCCCCCTTGAAGCAGATTTCAAAAATGTCTTTTCTTGATTTTGACGAATGTTGGTGGGTCCTGGCAGCAGCTCTGTTTGGCAGGATAGGAATAGTCTCATTTCAGTTAATTTTACCCTGCGTCTTTTGTTAATGTGAGGTCTAAATGCAAGAATGTTTTTCTTGTCCCACACAGTTTACGATATCTTTTCGATGGTAATAGTCGCAAACTGTACAACCGAAATTACTGCTTTCAAGCAAACTGCGTACAAGTGTCAAGTGTACCAGAAAGCATATACAGCCAATGTGTTTTGGGCTAATTATTGTATTCCGTATTTTTAGTCCATAAATTTGCTCTATTTTATGATATGATGCAGAAAGGTTTAAATGTGATCTCCTCAGTCTAAAATAAAAGTAGGCTTTATTTTGGACTTCGGTTTTTGTCGGATACCGTCGATATATATATATATTATTGTAAGCACTAGTTTTCAAACGCCAAAAAAGTTTTTTCCGATGATGTTTTAAGCAGTCGAGCATTTGAACGTAATTTTTTTCAAACCATATGCTTCAAGAATTTCTCCTTCACTTGGTGCCTCAGTCCTTACCTTTTCTTTTTTTCCACTCTTCATCAACTACTCACTATCATTTTGCCAATGATCATAGAAAGATTCATAACAATTTTCCCTTGTGGCCGAAAAAAATATGTAATTTTGGCATAAATCTTTGCATTATTGAATCTCTATTTGGCCTGCTTCGCAAGAGAATCTGCTCTACTTCATATTGTTCGAAGAGCTTTCAACAAAATGTAAATAGTTTCTAGTCATATTTTTTTTCTTTAATCGTGGGTTTCCTCACTCTGAGATCCTGAAAGACAAAATGTATGAGGTACTATAAAGCGCATAGAGCCTGCTGTTGAGCGGGGATATGCGCTATACAAATGCTATTTATTATTATTATTATTACTATACCTGTTCTTTGACTGCGTGGAGAATGAAGATACAGAATGATGGATAAAGTTACCTAGAAAAGAACTATGTCACTGCAGAATCAGTGGCTGGAGAAGTATCACTCTGTTTACCATCCATGGGACATACTTCTTGATATGAGTTATCCAGACTCCCTGAAAACAAAACTTGGAAGGAATTGCATAAGCCAAATCATCAGTGTTTTAATCTATAAAAGGGATTGGCAGCAGATTCACAATGGTTCTTTTTCTGTGAATGAGCTCTGCTCTTCCTATCTAACAAAAAAGAACCCCCCCACAAAAAAATTCTGTTTATAGAGGTATCAGAGCTAACTTTTCTCTACATCTCTTTCCAGGGTAAAGAACCTACGGTGACCTCGTACAACAAAAATACGTATGTATGTTTGGACTACATTTTCCACTCTGCCTCTTCCCTGGATACTGTGGGTGTCCTGGAGGTGCTAGACAAGCACGTGGTGGACAGTGTGCGGGGGCTCCCCTCTCCTGGCATACCCTCTGACCACCTCTCACTCAAGTCTATCTTTAGAATCAAGTAAGTGGCCTCGCCTTGCCTGCTATTTGCTCAAATTATCTTAATGTTTTACGTTCTTTTCTTTTCTGATTTCTCATCTAGAATTTTCACTGCCTTCTATTCTTTATTTCCTTTTGTTTGTCATGAATTGCGCTCCTGCATTTATGTCTTATCTTGATTCTAGGCTTTGTTTTCTACTTTTGATAAAGGAGATTTCTGCACATGTAGATTATTGGTTATAGCAATTGCATGGAATAGGTTTTGATGAAGATGGGCCTGTGGGGGGTGGTTGGCGGGTGCTGTGGTGTGGTCTGCACCTTCTTTCCTGTCAAATAGCTATTGTCCTTATCTCTCCACCTTCTTTTCTTTTGTCTGTTACTCTCTAGTAACACCTCTAATCTTCGGCAATGCCATAAAACTTACTAAAACGATGAAGAAGAGGCTCAAAAGCAAATGGCAAACGTGATGATATAATCTAGATAGCTGCCTCGATCCTCCTCTATTCTCCCTGCCTCCTCCTCCTGCTATTTCACTGCTTTGTTTCCATATTCGGTCTTAGTTTGCATAAGATATATAAGGTACTCAGTCAAACCCATCCAAGATGACTACCCATTGTGGAGGAGACAAATGGTGGTCTTAGACAGGTGGTCGTCTTGGTTGGTATTGTTACAACCGAAAAGGCACTCGGGGGGGGGGGGGGGGGAATGTGGCAAGTGGTCATTTGTACAGGTGGTTGTTTTGTGCAGGTAGTCACTAAAATGGATTTGACAGTACTTAATGAAATTTTATAAGAAGCAAAAAAAAAATTTCTGAGGCTACACAATTCGCATAATTCCGCGGAAGAGTTTTATATTGACTGTACTGCAGTTATGGTGATGACCTATGAGTTTAAAAAAACAACTGAGATATCATGGGAAAGTTTTACTCCTTTTCCTTGTTTCACTTTAAGTGACAGAATGTGATTCAATGGGTAGCATGCGAATTATCTTGCTGATCTATCACCTAATCAGCTGTAAACAGGCGTTGAAGTTTGTCCAAATCTCAAGAGGGTAATGGTTGAGAAAGTCTTATTTCATATAGGAAATTATCTCTCGAACGTTAATCAATGTATACTCAAAGAGGCTTCCTTCTTTTGGATGACATTTAGACCATATTATGATATTGAAGCTGCAACTCTTTTTCTCCTTCTTACTGCCGTTTTTCAGCCACACCCCTGATCTTCTTGTAGGAAAGATGTACACCTAGCCTTGTCGGACAAAGGCGAAAAATCTCGGAGGTCGCGTGTGCAATTTGCGCTCGCTTAAGAATAGATCCGTTGTTGGTGTAAAATTGATGAGCAGGCTTCAGCCACCACCCCGGCAAAATTCAAAATTTCATACCCTCTGAAAATATTTGGTGTTTCCCGTGCGCTCATGTGACCTTATGCAGTTGCGAGCTCTGTAAAACACTTGCCCCCCCCAAAAAAGATGTACGTGTCGCGCTCATGCTCCGAGAGTTGAATTCAGTGCTAAGCAGAACTTTTGAAAAAGACCTGTTTTAGTGGAAAATGGTTTTATGTTGTGCACTGTTATGGTGAAATATTGTTTTGACATACTATTAGCTTTCAAGATATCTTCTGATCACAAATCCATACTCTGTGTAAAATTGAGTATAACTGTTTGTGCATATTGTGTACTGATTAGGTCTTTGAAAAAGTAACACTTGTAACATAAGTTACCTACTATGGATAATGCTACATTATCATTTCAGAATGGTGTTTTATGTTTTTAAAAAAATACTACTTGTGAAAATGTGAACTTTTCATTGTCATTGCATTCACTATTTCTTTTTGACTGATTTCTGTCTACTTACTTAAAAATTTATGTTGTTTTGTTTTGTTTTCCCCACACTCCACAGGGACTAAGCAGCCATTTAGCCATTGTCCAAGCATGTTCCTTGTGAAGCCCCCCATCCTGTCTCAAAACTGTCTGCTGAAGGGATGGAAGGGGAGAATGTTTCTTCATCTTGACATGTCAGACTCGAAAGGAAACAAAAGTGCTCTACTGTCACACATTTGTATATTTGTTCCAGCATCTCACACTGCATTTTATATACTTGATTATAATTTAGTTTGATTGTTTCAAAAAGATTCTTTCTTTTACATTGTTTTGTTTTTTCCCGTGTATTTTATGCCATCCCTTTCCCTCTTGAACTATTTGGCTTCATGTTATTCTGATATTTTTGGTATAAAATTCCTCATACTTATAGAGATGGAAGATACAAATATAACACACACACACACACACAAAAATGATATCATCGAAGGTTTTACCAGAAAATTCTACAATTTATTCAGTGCACAAAAAGCCGCTACTTGAATGAATCATATTTTTCTTTCATTCTTTTTGAGTTGTAAAAATAAGTTTATGTATCTTTGAGACTGGAGAACATGATGTCTAGACCAAGATGGCTAGTCTCCTATTTTTTCGTTTGTTTGTTTGTTTGTTTTTTGGTTTGAATATGGCTTTGTAATGGTCTGTCAAGCTCTCAATAACAAAGCTGGCCTGGTTTCCTCAGTTTTTGTGCAAGAAATAGTGTTTTCATCGGAATAATTGAATATGCAGTTTGCAATACCATGAGGATGGTTTGAGAGCCTTGTACTGAAGGTAGAGGGATATGGCTCAGTGACTTTAAGTTGTTTTTTTTGTTTTGTTGGGGTTTTTTTCTGTCAACGTTTCTTATTTTTAAAAATCTTTTGATAAAACCAGGCTCTCTTGACATGTTTTTCGTGAAAAAGATTGTTTTGTGCCGATTTCCCTAAGCGTTTGAGGGTTCCTGTGGAATTTGTTTTTCCTTTTGTCCATGCTAGTCAGATTTTTAAAAAGTGACTAAAAGTGGAAACTGGGAATGGGCTTTTTGCATACGCAGATTGCGCCTCATCCAATATCTGCTGTAGCCCGCCTATGCTTTTTGAAAGATGAGCACAGAATTGAGAGACATAGCCATACCATGTTGCATTTCTGTAAATGATCTCATAAGTATACAGGGAAATGAGGGTTCATTCAAATAGTCAACTTCACCTATAACTTCACCACCATTAAGCACATACATTTTTCAATGTTAGTGGTTATTTTAGTGTCAGGCATGTTCTGTACCCTGTGCCAGTTTGTTTTGTATAATCCCCTCTAAGTATCCTCTGTAAGTATTTTCTCGTAGCGTGCACTTCTCATTTAAGCTATGTTGTCTCATATGTATTGAAACGTTCCCTCTAGTCAGGCGACTTTTGGTAGAAGTTCAGTTTCACCATTTGCTGTGGTCTGTCATGAACTTGTTAGTTATAGGGTGTGTGGATGACTCATGCTGGACATTTTTGTCAGTGACCATGTGCGGAGGGATGCCTCGAGGTCTTCCTCAAAACTGTTACTTTCCAAGACTATTCTACTTCCTGGCTTGGGACACGTCAAGGCCTGTGTAGCAGCATTATAGAAAAGGCCTGATGGTAGAGAGTTTTCAGTGTAGACTTGTATAAAGTACACATAAGTTTTGGTCATAAAGAATGAAGTAGGGTCTCTCTTAAATGTACTGTATAGAATAGAAGTGCTTTTTTTGGTTGACCTTTAGGATGCAAAGTTTATGGGATTATTTGAGCTCTGTAAAGTGATGAGAAAATGCAAAGAAAAGAATAAGTGTCAGAAATATATAGAGTCTGTTTTGGTTTGTATAGTCTATGACAGAGACATTTTTTATTAGAAGAATTCTTAGAATTGTAAACATGGAAAGCGAGAGGTCCAGAATATCAGCTTTAAATTGATTGTGTTATCATTATTATAGTTGTAATTTTTCTTGTATAGTACGTGAACATTGTTCGTGTGCCTGAAAAAAAAAAGGGTACACAAGCAAACATTTCTTACTTGTTCAGTCAAAAGGGTTTTAAATATTGAATGCCTTTTATTGATTAATCTGCTTCCCTAAAAAATTATCGTGGATTCATGCAAAAGCTTCTATAAAAATGTTTAAAAAATGGCAGATGACTAAGAGTTCAGAGGAATTTCCATCAGATTTTTTTTTTTGGATTGGTTTTCACTAATTGGTTTATTGCTCAGTACCCTTTCCTTGTGTGATCAGACATTTGGTGAGCAGTTAGATTTTTTTATTTTAATGCTGTCACAGTTCATTGAGCCATTACGAAGCTGCTTTCCATCACTCCTGTCTTCTTGCAACCCTTTGAGCCTCGGCAGTGGCGCCATTGCTTTCCCAGATCTTTAACAATGGCTTTTGACTGTTTCAGTATCCCTCAGCAGGTTGCAGGGTTTGCGCAGGTGCTTTCCTAAGTCGCCTTATTTAGGCCACAAAATCTATTCATTGCAATACCAGTGTTTCATTTTTTTTTCTTTGTTATATGGCACAATTGGACTACGTACGGGGTATATTAATTGTACAGAAAAAAACTTCTTTTTGTTAGGGTAACTTTGATCTTTGCTGTTTATTTCTTTACCTACTTTCTTTATACTATATAAGGTTAACTTGTGTCATCTGTGCTGGATGGGTGTTGTTTTTGTGCCAAAAACTCGAAAGCTGCAAAAGTCCATACATTTTATGAAACATATTTCTAAATCTAGAGGTGTTACAGAAAGATATTTTATATTGAGAAGAGGCTTGCTTTTGGCTGAAAAGTTTGAATTTATTTGAATTATTTTGGAAGGAATTTCAATGTTAGCACACTCTTCTCTGTTATCCGAAGTATTTGGAAGGGGTGGGGGTTAAGGCCATCTGCAGGTAATATTTCTCCCATTTTTACCCGGTTGGACCTTGCAATTCTTTTTCTCCATTTTTGAAACGTACATCCATTTCCCCTGAAGTTTCAAGCTCCCATTTCTATCAATTATGTTTAGAAGTCATGTAAAAATGGGTCTTAAAAAATAATTTGCAATTTTGGGTCTTGTTTTTAAATATTCTCTTCATTTTTTTTTTTTCCGACTTCAAATTACATCTTCTCCATTATTTTTCATCTGAATGGCTTCATTGTTTTACACAATATGCGTCTATAGGTGACTTTTACTGAAATGGAGGCTTTTTTGAAGATAGTAAGAAAATAAGTTACAATCAGTGTTTGTGTTGGGAATTTCGAGGTTGTTTGCTATTGTCCATAGTACATATTTTCAGAGTCTATAATTATTTTCATAATCGTAATATTACAAATTTAGCGTTATTTGTTCATTACATATGTGTTGTGTAGTTTGTACTTACTGAAAATTAAAGCCAACGGACGAAAAATAAGAGAAAAGATAGCTTTTGAAATTTGATGAAATTGTCCAATATGCAGGGCGTTTTCTTGGTTGCCATGTGCTTAATAATAAATAATTACTTGAATTTATTCTTTGATGTCTGACTAATATAAATATATCATCGTTTCTATATTTAGTCAAGGGTATATGGATTTTAGAAATTTCACCAGCAGATGGCCTTCAGAACCCGCCACAGAAACAAAATGCTTTTATTTAATGTTATGCCTTACATTGACTCTTGGGATTGAAACGAAGAGCACTCTATTTACGTCTCTGCAGTGACATGGATGGAATGGTGATCGTTTTTGGGTGGCACCACTTGTTTTTAATCTGTATTTCATTTATTCCCTGCACAGTGGAACGGTACCGTCTCTTTGATTATGAAGACTAAATGGTGCTGGGAGTTGTTTTGAAACTTTCTCCTTTTATCTTTTATTTCATGGGCGCGGTGCTGTCTTGAGAAATTTCTATGGATGACTACTAAAATAATTGTTTGATGAAGTAACAGCCAGAACAGTAATTGTTTTGTTGTGAATGAATGCACGTTTATCACAGAATTGAATTAAATTTGATAAAATTTTTAGGACTAACTGGTTTTGTTGTTGTGAAGCAATCTAATTGTGTTACGGGTTCAGTCTGAGTTTTTAAGATTCCTTGAAGTGAATAGGATTTCGCCTTTTTTTTTTTCTCGACATTTAGGAAGATTGTTTTGGGTGAGCTGGTTTTGTTTTCTGTTTAGATACAAACATACTTTTATTTTGTTTCTGTTCATGGGCTTGGCATGGTCCCTTTGTAGCATATTTTCTAGCCTTAAGTAACACATGTTTAAGCATAGATGAGTTACTGAAAGCCTGAAGCAATGCATGCAAATATAGCCATTATGTCCAAGTCTAGGAAAAACAGGGACATTTTGTGCAGTTCATTTCAGTAAACGGGGCTTCAAAACCATCCGTTTATTAATGTACAGTCCCTTGTGCAGGGCAAACAGTCAAAGGTCCAAAGCTTGTCATCTTTCTCAGGTAGTCCGTCTTTGGAAGGCAGCTTCTCATTCCTGGCAAGTGAATTGTTTTTTCTGTGTCCAGCAGTCATGAGCACATCTTGAATATGTGTACATGTCCCCGTGAAATACTTTACATATAGATGTGGTGAAAAGTAAGTTCAGTTTTTTTGCTTTTGGAAATTCCAGGGTTATTAGAAGTCTTTATTTTTTTAGGTCATTTTTTTCATGAGGTCATTTTTTTTTCATCCATCCTAAATGGGGACTTAAACTTTAGTTTACTTTTTTGCTCTTTCCTATAGAAGGGCGAGAATTTAAAAACTTTTCCCATCTTTATTTTTCTTTCTTGGTAACTTGATTTTTAAAACATTGTGTCTTATATGTTCCTTCTTTTTATTGTTCCCTTCCCCCTCACCCCCACCTTTAAAAATTTCTTTTATCCTTTTGTTGGCAGCGTTATACAATATTGTTTTGGGATGTTGTTACAGAGAGGAGCTTTCAAAGTCCCATTAAAGTCCTTCACAATGACCCTGAATTATGTACGTTTCCATAGACTTCCTGTTATTGTACAGATACATACATTGTTACAAACATAATACCGTTAATAACATATTTACCTAAGTCCGAGAGGACCATCTCTGCATCGTAGCCAGACAGTGTGTACTATTGTATTGTCCCATGTGTTTTCACCACGTTCCTCCGCAAGTCTATATGTTGGGTAGCAGCACAACTATTGTTACTCTGGTTCTTCAGATTGGACAGCAGGAACGAAAGACTGCTGTTTTTTTTGTTCTCCCCCACTCTGTACCATGTGTCAACAAAATCTGGAATTTCAATTTTAAGTGCATTTTCCCAAAATAATCGCCACAACTCTTGAGATTTTTACAGGGCTTCTTCCCGGTGCTCTGGAAAGTGTAAAAAAGTGATTTTCATCGAAACTCTGGAGTTTCGATGCTTGAGTTGCTACCCTACGCTGTGTCATGCTGGTACGTCCTGTGCCCATCACCAAACTAATGTGACTCATAGACGAGGCTGAGGTTAAACGGATTATTGTGTTAATTGTGTTCTGGAAATACAAAACAAAGTGCCAGTGCATTGGTCATATCCTCCTTTGTTACCACAACCCATGGAAGATGAAATATGGGAAAGAAGTTAGCTTATTGTACCATCCATTTCTCAAATTTTTAATGTAACCATCTTAAATTGTGGAACGATTATACTTGTGTATTTTTTATAAGATGCTGTGTTGAATTTGGATCTAGTTCATATCACTGTTAAATGAAATTGTGTATGAAATCAAATTTTTTTCTGAAATAAAAGTTCCAATTTGATGGCCATCTTTGGTGGAGTTTTTCCTTCATAGTTTATTGTTTTTATCTGCTTTAAAGTTTGCTGTGTGGGTGATTGGCAGGTGCTCTGGTGTGGTTTGATCCTTCTTTCTTATCGAATTTCTATCGTCCTCATCTCTCCTCCTTTTTTGTGTTTTTTATTCTCTTGTAACACTTCTAATCTTTGGCACTTGTATCACCTAATTGTGTCGCAAGTGCCATAAGCCATAAAACTCCTAAAACTAAACTGTGTTTTCTGTGATGTAAGGCTCCTAGGACGTTCGTGATTCAATGTTATATAGCTGGCTTCCATGTACTATTACTATAATCACACATTGTGTGAAACAAAGTGCTTTCAAACTTGTTTTAATAAGCTGGGTACATACCATATTTGGCTGGTCGTTCATGCAAACCCTCCTAATATGCATTGTATTATATATGTAAGGGGCACTCTGCCTTTCTTGGCGACGAGTGTGGTTTAAAACAGAAGTGGGTGTAAAGCTGCGTCAGAAGGGGATGGAAGTCTGTCCTCGCTTTGTCAGATACTGAAGACTACATCATTATATCACTTTTAGTACACCGTGTCTTTCTTGCAGCTTTTCTACTGCTACTCCTTGGCCCCGTACTGCTGTCTTTCAGCCATACCCAATATCTTATGGTAGGTAAGATCTAACACCTAGCCCTCTCGGATAAGGGTGAAAAATCTCGGAGGTCCCGTGTGAAAGTTGGTGGTCCAAAATTGATAAGAGTAGGCTTCGGCCATCACCCGTGCAAAATTCAAAATTTCTTACCAACTGAAAATGTTTAATGTGTCCTACGCACTCATTTGACCTCATTCATTTGAGAGCGCCATAACACACTAAAAAAAGGAGAGACCTATTTAGCAGCAACCTGTCATCTTTGCACTTATCTAACGAAATTTCGAGTAAATAAGATCCAACCAGATGGATATCATATCTGATCGTGCTGAGAGAGTTTTGAAAATGCTTACCAAGGAGGTGTTTTGTTTGCTGAGGAGGCCTGGTTCCAGTAGGATGTGGGGGCCACACCCCGCACAGCATGAGTGGCCCTTGTATAGAGGCACTCCTGTACAGTTGCGGTCCCGTTTGGGGATACTAGTTTTGACCCCACGGACGATTACTTCTAGTTCTGAACGATTGCTCTTTGATGCGTGTGCCGATATAGAGAGATAGCCTAGGCCTATCAAACCTAATTTCAAAACATCAAACCATAGTCAAATTCAGGGGGTGGGGGGGGGCATGCCCCTCTGAAAACCCCCATGTTTTTTTTAGGTCAGCTGAAACCCCTCCTGCCTTGTTAAAAACAAGTGGAATTTTACCGCTCATTTTGTTGGCTAGATCTACTGATAAAATATAAAACATTGATACCGACTATTTAATTTATTAAATCAGTATTGAATGAGGTCAAATTTGGTTGATATCCAGTACTCTGTGCTAGGCCTAGTGTGATCTAGTGCCGACGGGACCGCAATTGTACAGGAGTGCCCATAAAAGTTTGGGGAATGCAGAAAGCCGAAAGCTTACAAATGAATTATCCCGACTTGAACCCCTTCAATTACTTTCTTAGAGTTTGAGGCTTTTTAGATAGAGTGTACCGGAAAACCCCCCACAAACTAATAATATGTGAAGCAGCGTGGTGGTATCAAGCTCTCGTCAATTTTTGGGCATGTAGAGTTATTAGTATTATCTTAAAGCTTGTTCTCTAGTCTTTATTTGGATGAAAAAAGTATCCATTTATCTTGAATACAAGTCGAGATACAATGTATTTGCGAAAGAAGGAGGTGGGGGGCACCGGTTTTCAGAGGCAAAATTAGTGAAAAAATGGCCGCCAAAGATTAGTTATTTCATTACTTAAGAGTCTGTGGTAACTGAAAATATACTTAATCAACGTTTTTCAGAAAAACAAACACATAAATGAGTTCTTTAATGGGCATTAAAGGTGTTGAGCCAAAAAAACAAAATTTGATAAAAATTCACAAACCTGCGGAAAAATGCAAGTTTCTTCACTTTGATTATTTTGACGAGAACCTGATTCCACCACGCTGCCTCACATATACAGTTGAAACTCAGTGTTGCAAGGGAAAGGGAGTCCAAAGAATCGACACAACAAAACATGCCACGGGGTTATTCAAACTCTCCAGCAGCGTATGCGGGCTTGTCTGGAGAGAAATGGTCAACACCTGGAACATACAATTCAAATAGCTTCCAGCAATTTATTTAGAAATGCCAATTTTATGTAAATTTGTTCTTCAATGCACAATGTTGTTTAATTTCAAGAAGTTGCAAAGTTTTGCAGTCTACTCAAATTTGGTTGAACTTATTAAAACTTTATATGTTTCTTGAACACAAGCATTGATGTTCTTCATGTTAACAAACTTCCCCTTGGTTAAATTTACATTTGTTCCAAGTTAAAGTTTTGTTGAAATTGATCCAAAAATGACCGAGTTATTGACCTTTAGATGGTCCTTTATTTTTCAATTTTGAGACCCGGTATGAGGGTTGGAGGGTGCTACTGGTTGGTCCAACTTCTTAACTCTCACATGCCTATCTCTCTCTCTCTCTCTCTCTCTCTCTCTCCCTCTCTGTCTCTGTCTCTCTCTCTCTCTCTCTCTCTCTCTCTCTCTCTTTATATATATATATATATATTTCACCCCTTCCTCTCTCTCCCTCCTCTCTCTGTCCCGTCCACCTCTCTTTCTCTTTCACCCCCTCCCACCCCCCCTATCTCTCTCCCTCTATCTATCTATCTATCTATCTATCTATTTATCTGCCTCTCTCTCTCTTCTCTCTCTCTCTCTCTCTCTCACTCTTGTATCTCTCCCTTTGACATGCGGAAGTCACCCCCACCCCTACACACACACACACACACACACACACACACACACACACACACACACACACACACACACAAATATCCACAACACTCATTTTTGCACCCCCTCCTCTCTTCTTATTCATACCTACATATCAAAATGCCGATGCTGACTTAAAATCAAACAATCGGTGCAGCGTTATCAAGAGGCTACTGTGTGGGTGACCCTTGTTCGAATCCTCAACAGAGTTCTTAAGTCTATGTTATTTGAAGACTTTCAGGCCTCTTCTGTGAGTGGTTGGAGGGTGCCACTTATAGTCCCTCCTACTTCTTTATTTTCCCTTAAGTGTTTATGTCCGTCCGTTTTGCTTATTTCTACCAATACCTTGCCATTTTTGTATCGATATATGCTTCTCTTTATGCAAACTAAGGGCTGTCGAGCCCCTTGTTTAAGCCCTATAGGGAATGGGCGTTAAATTGGAGACCCTGGTTCTTATAAATAACAGTACAATATTGAAAATTATACATTTAAAATCCATACCTTACCAAATCATAAGATGGGCTCACCAGCTTGTGTAAAAAACAACAACAGAATTTCTTTAATTTTATATTTATTTTTATGCACTATGTGGGAGATCCATTAGCTCAGTTGGTATCATGCTGAACTAAACTAAGGAGCAGATAGCTCAAGTTCAAATCCCAGACTGGCATTCTGGAACCTTGGCTGTTTTGGGGAGTTGATTAAGGCTCTCCACCCTTTTGGCTCAGTCTTACCGGAGACGGACATCAGAATCAGAGATTTTCCCTTTTAAATAACCTAGGTCTATACGGTACTAGTCATGCACTTATTAAAAAAATTTCTTAAACATGCAATTCTTTTTTTTCTTGTAGTATTATATATATATGTATATACATTTTTTTTAATTTCAGAGTCGGGCACTCATATCTCACATACCAAAGGTATTTCAGCACAGTTTACCCAACCTGCACAGTGCATATCAAGATTGCCAGGTAAGTGAATGGTTTCTCTCTCCTACCATGCTTTATTATTTGTTGTATCAGAAGTGTGGGAGTGAGTGGTTGATGGATGCTCTGTTGCGGTTTGCTCCTTCTTCCCTATCAAACATCTATCATTCTTATTTCTCCTCCTTCTTGTTCGTGTTTGTTTTTCTCTTGTGACACCTCTTATCTTTGGCACTTACATGACTTTATTGTGTTCCAAGTGCAGTGAAACTCTTTCTCTTACCGGGTACTAAAACTTAAAACTAAAAGAAATATTGTCGTCTTTGTAAGACACAGAAGAGAAAGCTTGACTCATTCAGAATATGCTGGTTATGTCTTTTTAAAATTGTAATTCGAGTTGGGCATTTTTTTCTCCACATAATGGAAATACGCAGCAATAATACTATGTATTATTATTGTCATCATTATCATTTTTTATCATTATTATTATTATTATCTCGAAAGTACAACAGTGAACTAAAGTTTCAAAAAGTTATACGCTGATATGACACTTAAAAAATAATAAAAATTTTACGTCCCCTTTAATACTATTTAGATCATTTGGGAAGCAGGCTGCGACCCTGTCTGTCAATGCCAAACCAGACTGAGAGGAGTCCAGCTTTTGAGTAGAAAGACCGAGATACTTGATAAAAACTTCTCCACTCGCGGGAGTCGAAATCGGGTCTTCTGTGTGCCCAGACGAAGTGCTTAACCACTCATGCGTAGCGCTTTGAAGTCTGATATACAGTAATATTTGCCAATTTAAATTACCTGGTCATTGGAAGACAAAAAGGAGGCGGGTTATTAAACAGACTGGGATTTTAGGCAGATTTGAAGGGCCACAACGAAGCATCTTGATTGCTTCACATGCTTATTCCAGGACGAAATATGACCCGCAGGAGATACAGAATCCTGAAAGCAGATAGCGCTTACCTTTTCTTTCTTTTTAATTTTCATTCATTCATTCATTTATTTATTCTTTCATTCATTCATTATCTATTTACATATTTGTTTTTTAATTAAATTTTTTTGGTTGTTGGTTGTTTTTTTGTTGGGGTTTTTTTTTTTTGGGGGGGGGGGGGTAAAAAGTGAGGGTTTTTTTTAGGTGCAAGTGAGAACAGACGTGTTTTGTCCACAAATCAGTTCAAGATCCGGTCATCCCCCCCCCCCCCCTCTC